AAACCAAATCAAGTCTACGATTGTAAAGCAAGAGCTAGCCGACTAAGAAGGCAGAGAAATATTGACATTGCAGTGCAGGAATCAAGGTCAGAGATGGAGGTCACTGGCATGATGCAGGGAAATGCATCAAGCAAAAGTGGACCACTTGCGTATCCACCCGGGCTGACGTCTTTGTGCCTAACGTAAAAGTGCCGACGATCAGCCTATAACTTTCAAAATAACAACTCCTTATCACCGTGCACAGAAAACGAATCACAATTCTCAATTCTGCATGAACCATTGAGCTAAGCCACAAAAAAATGATCTGAGTCGCTAAACAGAGGTTGGTAGTTGGAAAACCGAATGTGAGAGATGTGTGTAGACAAAGCCATCCAAGGGATGCGGCTTGGTGCCCGAGCTAGCGACGTTAATTAGCTCATGCAGAATATTGCGTCATTATCGAAAATTATGTGATTTCCCTTGTTTCTCGAACACTGTAGAAATTACATGTAGGATCGTGCAGTAGGCCAGCCACCATGCCATTGTTTGCTTCTCACTCGTAAGCTTCAAGATGTACTCATAGATTTATGTCAGTAACAAAACCCATGGAAAACCGGACCGAGTCTAAATAGAATGCTTGGATACCGGGGGTGCCTGTAGCGTGGCTGGTGATAGTAATTGCTGAGTCATGCTATGCCAGGGTCGCCTTATTGGAAATGAGTCGTGCAGGGTCGACGCAGATTGTATGGGGACGAAGACTCACCAGCCGTCCGTTCTTTCCTCTCCGAATCTCCAGCCTTCAGCCTAGATTTTACATTGCTTGTTTTTTTGATGAATCCAAGACTATCACTATCACCCAAGACGGCACAGAGAGGTTGGGCTAAGCTATGGCGCTCACTCTCTGTCAAAAATTCTTCAAAATTTCAACAGACCAGCGATTTATGAGGGGTGTTGAGTGGAAGCTCGAAAGGTGTGCAGTGATTCGCAAAGTTACATACAAGTATGCAGTCGCTAGCCTCTTCGAACGCTTCGAAAGGGTGGCTATGCCTTCAGATTTAGTCCCAACTTTAGGGACAGCAGAGGCTCGTATCTAGCGGCTTATAAGGGCTGCCTGACTGTCACAATCCCGCAAACGTACTCCATGTCATTGGTCAGGGAAAGAAAGCTCAATGGGCATAAGGTTCTTACACGTATGTGGTAGAATGAAGACCCAGTGTGCGGTGCTGTTGGAAAGGAGTTGTCAAGAAGACACAGAAGTTGATATGTCATCTAATGGATTAGTTTATCTGGCCTGTAGATAGAAAAGGACTATTCGTCTCATACAATTATGGTGTCACAAGGAAAAATAATAATAGCAGCCTACACGTATTGCCTTGGTCCTACATGGCTGTAAACTATTAAATGACATTTTTGAGTTAACGACTCTATTCATCCCAGAACCTACAGCTAAATAGTTCTATCGACGTTCCAACTAGCGGTAGATCATTAATAGCTAGGATCGGCAGTGTACCCGGCTTAACGACCTGCCGAATTGCGGGGTTTAGGAAAAAAACATTTGTGCGACCGACAGCCTGGTGCACTTCGTCTGCCGGCGTTGGCAGTTGAACAGATGTGGATCTTGTGACTGGCAGATACATTGCGGACTCGTTATAACGATATTCGCCTTATAACAATGCCTTCTTTGCGCACGCATCACGTTCCCATGGTAACATAACAAATTATCGATATCCTATGCGTCGATGTCGCCGTCGCCCTTTCATCGTTACTTTGAATAACTGTCTCATGATGTAACCAATGTCATTGGCTAAAGCCTGATTATATTTAGTCCTATGCCTAATAATCAAGGCATAGATTGATGTTTACTAGTTTAATTCTAGATATATATCTATTTTTTTTGGCATCAGATTTTAATTGCGTATGCAGCTATCTAGCTATGACACAATATCAAAGAAAAGTATAGAATAGATGATTCAACGTCAAGGAAGAACACTCATGCCTTGGATTTCATTTGCAAGTACCACTGCGAAGTGATGGCGGCTTTTTCTTCACCCCAAGTCAACCCTCATCCGTGAATACCCACCCAGGGGAACGTCTCAAAAACCCTGAGCTAACCAGACATGCCTCCATCATCAATTAACTTTTGTCCGCGCGAAATGTAATCTGAGATGTCTACTTCTCAATTAATTAGGTGCCCAGGCTACTCAGACTATACCGGAGAACACTAGGTCTATACCTCTGTGTCTATGTTTTAATTGTGCTACTTGAGTATATGACTATCTAGTACATTGGGCTCCTCTATGACCTAGGCCACACCTTGTACAGTGCTCCTATCTTGTTTTGTTATCTGTAAGATCATTAATATATTGCCCGTGATGAATAGCCATTCAGCTCAGTACTTACCCGTGGAATTCGGCCACCCTTTCCACGGAACCTTCTATCCAAAAAAACATTAATGGCAGCAATTGAAACTGCATAAGCGGCAAAAAGTCTCAAAATACCTGCAGCCCCAGCCAGGCGAGGCCTAGACACCGGGACCACATGAGGTGCGCATATTCATCTATGTCTCCCTTCTTTGTAACAGTCGAGGTCGACTTGATCCAATCCACCATCGCCGTATCGGATGCTGGGTATGCTCCGGAAACTCATCGGATGGCTTTTCCTCCATGATCAAGGGTGGGTGACGAGAAGGGCTTCGACCCTGCCATCTGATCTGATCGTGGTTAGCTTCATAATAATGGTGATAGGGGAATGTGTTGAGAGATGAAGACGATGCAGACCGCGAAAAAGATTAGGAATCTTCACGGGAGTGAGGACTTTGTTACTCAATCTCGGCTCTGCAGACTCCACAATAAGAACTAGAGGTTCGTAGTGGATACCACTGACAGGTGTTGAGAATAGTCCCCCTCCATCACCTCTGTAATCCTGCGTCAAAAAATGAATCGCTGGAGATAGACAATCCTTGATGACTGGTAGAACGAAACCTAGCTACTTCAATACAATGAGTAGGATCGGTTAATGTGCCGACGTAAATCATCAGAGCTTGGAAATTCCAGGTACTCGACCCGAAATCTCATTGTAGCCCGAGTGAGCCACAGCAGCTTCTCGGCTTAACATCGCCGATTCAACTTTGTGTATATGTTCATTGTGTTAAGTCTTTGGCTATTTACAGTATTGGGCTCCTCTATGATCCAGGCCACACCTTGTACAGTGCTCTTATCTTCTTTTAAGACGAAAAGGGTTCTTTGGTACAATGCCCATGATGGAAAGAAAATAACCTCAGTATTTACCCATAGAATTCAGCCGTATCTTCCACGGAACATTCTAACTAAAAAATCGAAAAATCTCAAACTTATAGCCCCAGCTAGAAGAGGCCCGGACACTGGAGCCATACTAAATGTGCATATCCATCTATATCTCCCTTCTTTGTAACATAAGAGGCCAAATTGATCTAATCCACCATTGCCGTATCGACTCCTGGGTAAGCTCCGAAAAATCATCGAACAGCTTCTCCTCCATGACCAAGGATGGGTGATCGGTAGGATTTCGTCTCTACCATCTGATCTGATGCTGGTTAGTTTAATGATAATTATGCTAAGAGTTTGTGCGGAAAGGTGAACACCATACAGACCGAGAAAGCGATTGGGAACCCTGATGGGAGCGATGATCAAGGTGTTACTCAATCTCGGCTCTGCAGGCTCTACAGTGAGAGCTGGAGATTCGTAGGGATCACTACTCAGAGATTTTATGTTTTGTCTCCAGATGATTTTTGTTACATGGTAAAAAATAGTTAAGTAATTCACATCTTAGCTGAAATAAAAGGAAAGATTTACGTGAGTTATTTGTTTGATTTTACTAATGAGAGGTACTTGAAGCTAAATCTGTATTTTTTTCATAAGTTTCATTGAGAAGCAATACACACTTTGCATCGAGGCCTTCGCAGGAAATTCACCGTTTTAATCCTTCCTTTTGTTCTCGTATCCAGATTTTTGTGAAGATCAAACGTAACCAGTCATACCAGTTGGTAAGGCTAGACGGGAGAATCGGCGAGAAGCGTTCGTTCCAAATAGAAAATTTTAGATATTTTGCAAGTTCTGATGGTTTTGCAGCAAGAAGATTTGATCAGAGGTTAATTCTATATCTCGGTGCACGTACATTAACTTGCTATTCGGTTTGTAGGGTTTAAAGCAGTGGAATCGACTTTGCTATGTCTTGGATACAGCTCTAGCTACAAATACCGGTCCATGACGCCTAGAAATAGAACGATATGGCCTGGGACATTAGTAACAAACAAAACTGCGATGATCTGATTTACCGTACCGAAATCAATCCTAGTGCATAGACCAGAATCGAACACCAAGCATCTCCCCTACGAGCCTGGGATAAGATAACTACCACGATTCGAGGCTCAGTTATTAAGAAACACGAGTAGATGAGACATGGTTCCGGTCTGGGAAAGCTGAGCTGATTAATTTTATCAACGGAAGCATGACTACTTCATCATTACAACTAAACAAGATTCAAAGATGATTCTACATCATCATTCTGCAGCCCACGGAAATTTAACCAACGAGCAGCCTTATTTCAATGACAAGCGCATTCTTCACTACTCCTGACAAATTTACTGCCAGAAATTAAACCTACGACCCACCTTCTCTTATCATACCGTTGCCAAGAAACCACGATTAACCGATGGAAGCCATGATGGAAAAGATGATGTGACAAAATGGAGGAAAATATAGAAATTCAGCATGATAGAAACAGATTTATTAGATGAACAGGCTTGGCATAATTTAGCGTTTGGGTGAAGCCCGGATAGCCCGGACACTTGGGTGGTACGAGATAATTTGGAAAAAATTTTGGTTGATTAAATCTAGCCCAGTCCTACTCGTTCTAATCTTTAAAGAATTGCTGATGGTTCCAATTGCCTAGCAAGTATAAATCACAAATCAAAAGCTACCTTTTCAACTTAAAAATAGAGCCATCATATTTAGTTTCTAGTGCTGCTTTTGACGAATAGAAATATGTCAACAAAACATTTTATCAACGATGCAGACCATCTAGTCAACGCAGCCCTCCATTCTCTAACTTTCACCAACCCTTCATTGGCTTTTGATGAGCAAAATAAAATTATCCATCGTCGTCCTGGTTATACCTCTCAAGTTTCCATCATTTCTGGTGGAGGATCGGGCCATGAACCAAGCTTTGGGGCTTATGTAGGCGAAGGTTTTCTCACTGCAGCTGTTGCTGGAACTATCTTTGCCTCACCAAACGCAGAGCAGATTTACAAAACTATAATTTCAAAGGTTGACCGAGAAAAAGGAATTTTGGTCATAGTTATGAATTATACTGGCGACGTACTGAATTTTGGCATGGCTGTGGAGAGAGCCAAATCTTCCGGCCTAAATGTGAAGATGCTTGTCGTCGGAGATGACGTTGGTGTTGGTCGGGCACGTTCTGGCAAGGTTGGTCGACGAGGTATTGCTGGAACAATCTTGGTACAAAAAATTTCAGGTGCTTTGGCAGCCAGGGGAGCGAGTCTAGATGAAGTTTATCGCGTGGCGAAACTAACGGCAGATAACATTGTCAGTTTAGGAGCGAGTTTAGGACATGTTCACGTACCTGGAAGAGAGATAGTTGGCCCAAATCCCTCTTGTGCTCTGGAATCCGGAAAGATCGAGATAGGAATGGGTATTCACAATGAAGCTGGAACTGCTCAAATCGATATTTCGCTCCCAGAGCTGGTGAAGATAATGCTAGCACAGCTTTTAGACCCCAATGACCAGGATCGTGCTTTTATAAGGATAGATTCAACTGAAGTCGTTCTATTGGTCAACAACCTCGGGGGTGTAAGCACTCTCGAAATTGGAGGCATCACCTCTGAAATAATCATTCAACTTGAAAAAAGCTACCAAATCAAGCCCATCAGAGTCTTAACTGGAACGTTTATGTCGAGTCTTAATGGTTTAGGCTTTAGTATTTCAATTCTAAAAATTGTAAATACAAATATAGAAGATTTAAGTATGTTACAGCTACTTGACGATGCATCGGAGGTAACAGGGTGGGCCGCACCTATTCGAAAAAGTACATGGGAAAGAGAGCCAATAGCAAAATCAAGAGATTATTCGACGGCGTTGACGCATGAATCTCAGTCAAGCGGTTTGAAGCTCGACCCCCAGAAAACCAAAGTTGCATTGACTTCAGCATTGCAGAGAGTAATAGCTGCTGAGCCAATGTTGACAAATTTTGATACGGTAGTTGGTGACGGTGATTGTGGTATTGGGATGAAAAGAGGTGCCGAGTGTGAGTGATAACTATTCATTACTTCTTTCACTTCGTTAAGCAGATACCCCGCCCCAAATAGAACCGTGCCCTCAGCTTGGTTGAATTTGGTTCAATCAATAGGTGGCTAGCGGTAACTGAGTAAGTAGTGCGAGCTCAGAAATACTCACACAAATAAATAAGGATGTTTATATTTGTGAGTATATATTAATTTTTGGTAGCCGTCCTAAACTTACTCTCCATCTCGAAATTTACTGGAGACGCTGTCCTCGATCTTAGCAAGATAGTTAAAGTGGTGGAAAACAACATGGACGGCACCTCAGGAGCTCTATACGCTATTTTTCTGAATGCACTATTGCAAGCTTTCAGTAAAACAACGCACGTGGGCACCATCACACATGAAGTTTGGGCTTTCGCTTTACAACAAGCATGTAGCACGCTGTCTAATTACACGGCTGCAAGACCTGGTGACCGAACAGTGATTGATGCCTTGTATCCGTTCGTCGAAAGCTTTCAAGCTTCACACGACCTAATCAAGGCAGCAGAGGCAGCGCGAAGGGGTTCTGAGAATACAAAAGGCATGAGGGCTAGATTTGGAAGAACTGTATACATTGGTGGTACTGGGTTTTCTGAAGTACCTGACCCGGGGGCATGGGGCCTGAGCGAGCTCCTGCTGGGGCTTGCAGGAGTATGCAATTAATCATTAAGTTTTAGTAACACAAGCTCAATTGAATTTCTGGCTACTCAAAACCATTAGTGCAAATATTTTCATGATATGCTTGATATTGTTGCTCACCACCAGCGTTTACAGTTCAGCTTTCGGGAATTAGAAATTGTAAGTCTGAAGCTATTATCTGGCCCTGCAGAGCATCTGATAACCCCTTATCTATTACTCTTCACACAATTATGACAACCAATACACTTTACATCAGTATTCATTCTTCGTGTTCTAATACAGGAGATGATCCTTATGAAAGACTCTGGTCAGTCTAGCTACAATCTCTTTTGCTATCGGATGACCCTAATTATACTCCAGAAATTTCTGTCGATTCTCGTGCTTTAACATCGTCAGCACAACGCTCCAGGGGGCTAAGACTTTTTCTGAAACTGAGGTGCTTACTAGAGAGTGGAACACTAGTTTTTATACTAGATCCTGAGAAGCGATATCTCAATGAAAACCACCCGCCTACAGGACTTTTGAGGCGTGGGTTATGCCTTATATCAAACACGCAAGGAAGGTGTTGCTCCGTCCTTTTTTACGTCTGTTTATCCCAATAACAATAGGCTGCGCGTAATCTGACACGAACATTCGAAGAAACGAAATAAATAAAATAGGTAGACAAACTGCTTAATTTTAATTGGGACGCCGCTATCAATTCGAGGATGGGCATTTACAAGTGGATCTTTAAAGTAAGAATATTGTTAGATTGCAGTTGAGTATCTTTTTTTTCAGTTTGCTGGTATATCGAGATATGTGAGGCTAAATATTAGATTGATTATTTTTACAGTGTTCCCTAACTAGTAAAAACACACTCCTATGAAAGGTCTGAGAAGAGGGCAAGACTGAACACTTGTACACAGTGTCTTCTACGAACCTGGGAGTGAAATATTCTCCCAGAGCCAAGTTCAGTCAGGCTTCGCAATACCAAAGAAGTTGGCCTACAAGGCAATGATTCAAATTACTCCTCCACGTCGTTTTTTCGCTCCCAACGAGTTTAACGCCTACCTATGTCTCATCAAGTCTACAAGTACGACCAAGAACATCCTCATCTCAATGACCATACCACTCTCCGACCTTCTCTGGCCTCAGTTGACCACCAAATACACGCCCACGCCGATATTTATACCCGACAGAGGAAGCAAAGCGTAGAGCACAAATCTGGGAGACGGTTCTTTGGGATGGACGTGAGAGGGATCAGGACAAGTTTACAAGATGATGCGAAGGAAGGATATAACCTCGAAGGGCGTGAAATTCCGAATTTTGGCAAGGAGTTTTACGGATTAAGCTTTGTGCGCGCCAAGAATTCGCTCGCGACAGTGCAGCTGACACTATAAAAACAAGCCGACGATGGAAGGTGCTGTGGTCCGCCTCCTGGTGGTGTTCTCCGGTATGGTTTGAGTGGCCTGGTCACCTACTCCACTTGGGAAGGAGACATCTCAGATCACATATCACGCGGAGAAAAGTGGAAAGGTGATGGAGGCATGTCTGGATAACTCAGGGTTTTTAGACGTTCCCCTGGTTGGGTATTCACGGATGAGGGTTGATATGGGGTGAAGAAAAAGCCGCCATCACTTCGCAGTGGTACTTGCAAATGAAATCCAAGGCATGAGTGTTCTTCCTTGACGTTGAATCATCTATTCTATACTTTTCTTTGATATTGTCTCATAGCCAGATAGCTGCATACGCAATTAAAATCTAATGCAAAAAAAATACCCTAATAACTGCCTATGCACCAACTACTAGTTCTACCATACTATGTAGCTGAGAATAACAATTGTTAGCTTAGCCCCATTGCTCGCTGCTACATATTCTGTTTTCGTCAATGTTATGGCAATACTGGGTTGTTTCTTGCCAATGGCTACAACAGCTCTTCCGTCTAGCATCATGATAAAACCTATTGTTGATTTTCAATTACTTATATCACCGGCATGATCTGCATCATCGAAAATGAGCATATCGTTAGCTGTGAAGCTCCCGCAATATACATCAATGTCATAATCGACCTAAAATTATGGATATTATCGATTGCTCTTTTGTATTTTATTTCGTAGTCTATCGTACTCTCATTTTAGCTCAGGACCATTGGAAGTGCTGACCAGTGACTATGGCATGATTCGTGTGAACATTGCGCCATCTAGGATATTGTAAATATGAATTCTAGTCTGTTACTACAGACATGTTAGTTTTTCAAGTGATCATCATTAGCCTTTCAATCATTCCATAGCGCATATTCTTCCATGACATTTTTTGTAATTGGCGTCGAGCATCTCTCAGTACCAGAAATAGAAAAATCACCGAATATCGTACGCGCGAATTGAAACTCATGACTCATAGTTCATCTACATGTCGTGAGATGTGAATTCCAGGAATTCTTTCAGCTACTCCAAGGACTTTCATTTAGAGCCTCTTCCGTAGTAGATCTCTGTCGTCAATGTCTTCTTCGAGTGGACAAGTATTCAATAAATTTTGGATAAAGCCGAGAGTAATGTATACCATACATATTCAGCCTATTTCAATGCATACGTGTACTTTACATTTCGAACATATTTCCTGGAACGCTTGACCATGTGAGAGAGAGGTGAGTTTATTGTACTGCTTAAGTCTTAGACTGTCTAGCACATTGGGCTCCTCTCTGACCCAGGCCACACCTTGTACAGTGCTCCTATCCTCTTTTGTTACTTGAAAGATCATTGATATATTCCCCTTGATGAATAGCCATTCAGCTCAGTATTTACCCGTGGAATTCAGCCACCTTTTCCACGGAACCTTCTACCCAAAAATAATAATAAAAAATGGTAGCAATGGAAACTGCGTGCGCGGGAAAAAGTCTCAAAATATCTGCAGCCCCAGAAAGGCGAGGCCTAGACACCGGGATCACATGAGGTGCGCATATTCATCTAACTTTCCCTTTTTTGTGCAATTCGAGGCCGACTTGATCCAATCCACCATCGCCGTATCGGATGCTGGGTATGCTCCGGAAACTCATCGGATGGCTTTTCCTCCATGATCAAGGGTGGGTGACGAGAAGGGCTTCGACCCTGCCATCTGATCTGATCGTGGTTAGCTTCATAATAATGGTGATAGGGGGATATGCTTAGGGTTGAAGAAGATACAGACCGCGGAAGCGATTGGGAATCCTCGACGAAGTAAGAACTTTATTACTCAATCTCGGCTCTGCAAACTCCACATTGAGAGCTGGAGGTTCGTAGGAGACACCACTGATAGGTGTTGAGAATAGTTCCCATAAGCTTAGATAGAGAATTAAAAAGAACCAAGTGAACAACCATTATCTATCTGCTAGCAGATTCAGCCTGTGTCAACACCAATTAGTGTGTGAAAAACCGCAGAGTAGCTTTCAATGGTCATAGACTCAAATAGAATGTAAATTAAAAAAAAAACCGCAGAGTAGCACAATATTTATAAGAGACAATTTGTGACGGCCTTGCCTACGTGCATCTGTGCTAATTACAATTAAATTGTGCTGTTACTTACACGAGTTTGCTTCATGGGAATAGGCCATAACTTACTCTACGTACTTATCCAGCAGGCGTAGCTGATGACCAGTAGTAAGCCAAGCGCTTTATCAACAGAGCTAAATCAGCCCTGGCTAGTACGCACCGCCCTGTACCTTGACCCGTTTAGTAACATCAATCCTATCCCCACTTTACAACCGGCACAAATAAAACCCTATACAATCTAGAAGTCGACAAATCAAGTTCAAGAAGATGCGCAAACTCGAGTGAGAAATAAAAGCAGCACTAGCCATCCCACGCCGACCGATATAACCTAATATGAAACCACCTGAACCGTTTCTGCAAGCCCGAGCAGCTAAGGGATTACGAGTGTCGCCTTAATACATTCGGCGTGAAAATAGAAAAGCTTGGAATACCAGATAAAAACTACTCTCTGATCAAGCAGATCGACACAGAAACTTTTGGTATATTTCCAGAGAGCCCTAGCAATTAACAACTCAATGGGTAAGTCCTCGACCGCGTGATTCAGTGTCGAGCAGTCAACCAGAATCTACGTAGTTATCTTGTAGAAGACTTCGAAAGTTTTGCGACACAAATGTCACAATCAGTAAATTATGATATCACAAGGCTTTCTAAAGACAAAGTCCGGCAACACGGCATGATGGTGGTAACATCTAATCAGTCTATCGGCCTTAGAATCCATGAAGCAGTCCATAACCCTTGAACTGAGTGGAGTCAAGAGGAGGTGAGACTGTAGCAAAATAACGGTGGCTTTGTGCCGCCATCTCGTTATTCAACTCAATACCAAAGCGAGGACATCATTTTCAAGAGGACACCCAGCACGACTAGACCAATCTCCACTATTGGTCATAAAACGCGAGCGATCACAGACCCCGTGAAGATATACAACAACCCCAGAATCAAGAACAGTGGTAAAAATTACGACTACCTTCACAAGAAGTTAATTGTCTTCAATGACAACTGACAGAAGGTCTATCTTCTAGATGAAGACCAAGTACGAGTCATCTCAGTCGCTCTTACCGGTGCAGAAATCGAGTTCTACTACGATACTATCGTTTCTCGAGCCAACAATAATATGTCTTTTCTGGACACTATCCGACTCGTCGAGGACCACTTCAAGAGCCCCAAGATAAGAGGATAAAATATCAGTGACACGCTACAGACCTGCAGACTCTAATTGATGAGGCCCCTGAAAACACAAAAATTGACAACTTTGAATCTCTTCTCAAATGTTACTTTTGACCATGGTTTAGCTTAGGTAAAGACCTAAGCGGAGTATGGGGCGCAGTGGCGAGATTTTTGCACATTATCTTCTACCAAACGCTTTAGTTTCACTTCGCCACATTATACTGGGGCTATGAAGGAATGTGAGACGGCGAAGTGCAATGGTTAAATGAGAGAGCTAAACTAGGTGACCAAGTAAGATAACCAAGGGCAGTTGCGGAACAAGGTGTTATGCTTACCAATAGAGCACGTACTGGATAAGTTGTAAAGACGTACAAATATCCATTACCCGTGATTGTGTTACTTATCTCCTCATTTAGTTTAATCTTTCTAAGAGTACACTACAACCAGCTTGGTTTCGTCACATTTTCAACTATATTTTTTTAGTTTGTGCCATCCGTCATTGAGCAGATCGCGACCTCTATTTCCGGCTTAGGGTTATCATCAAACAAATATAGAAGTGTAAGTGTATGCCAATTTTTGCGCCACCTTCTTCAGCATTCAGCGAAACCGTCGGTTCACCGAGCGACCTCTCATTTCAGACAGCCTTAGAATTCGAAAATCTCGAAACAGCGACAATGAACGCTCAGATGAGTAATGATCGAGTAGCCACCGAGGGGTTAACAGAAATAGGGGAGCCATCTCTCATTAAAATAAGGGCAGTGAGATTGAAGACAGAACGGGAAATAAATTCTCTTCGAGAAGAATTGGCATCCATGAGAGAAAGTCGATCTCACAGTACGTTACACGTGAATGACACTGCGGAAACGACAAGCCGCAACCCTTTCTAGAGATAAAATGACCTGCCAGTAAGTGGAAGAAAGGCTCTCAAATGGCCAGAAGCTTATGATCACAAAATTCCTACGAGATGGCCAGCGACATACGGCGTTCTGAAGTACATCTATCAGCGAGATGTGTAAAACGGGGAGTTTCTTCAGCCATCGAATTTCTTTATGCGTTTTTTCAGCTGTGCATAAGTTGCATCTGTTAAAAAATGCCTTGAATAAAGCGACCCAGAATCATCTAATCGGGCGCACGCAACCAACAGATTTCATTAGTCTTATCGAGTTCTTATACACAGTTGGAGCTCAAATAGAGAGTGGAAATGGTCAAAACGAAAGAGTGTGCCGAAGGACAAATAGGGACTTTCGACGATGCGACGCGCGGAGTGACAGGAGGTAACTTGCTTGGAGCTAGCTACATACCCTCGTATAACCACACTTATTCGACAGAGATTTATGAGAGAGGTAAAGATAGAGGTGGTGACACGAAAATGACTGGCGTCAATAGAGAACGAGCGAAATGGGGTTCATCCAAAGAATACGATAAGCGAAAGGAAGAGGGTTTGTGTCTGAGGTGCGGAAAAGCCGGCCACATAATCGGTAAATATCGTCTCTTTCCGTCACGGCGTCCGACAACGGCCGTTAAACCAAGTAGGCTAATTGATAGGCTTGAGGAAAACGATTTAGACATGGAATCCAATTTGGAAGAGACAAAAGAGTAGGTCTTTAACAATATCTCGTTCAAGAGCCGTTCAATAGAGTGAGAAAAATGACGGCACTTTCGCAATCCACAGAAGATAGAAAAGCAGAAAAGAAATTGAACGGGAAATCTTTCGTAATAGACTCCTTAATCAATCAAATCTACTTTGTTCCAACACTTATAGACAATGGATGTGAATGTTATGCTGCCATCACCGAATCTTTAGTGCGCAAAGCTAGTCTCCCGAGGATAAAAGTAGCTCCAAGAAAACTTACTGGGGCAACTAGTGGCCAGAAAAAATATCAAAATATTACAGATATAACCAAAATGGTTATAGACATAGATGGATATAAAAAGATAGTGTATGCATATATTATTCCGAGACTTTCTCATCAGCTGATACTTGGGAAACCGTGGATGGAGCATGAGGATGTAATATATCGTGCAAAGGAACAATTCATGGAAATTCATGAGGCGATTATAAACAATCAGCCCCTTAGAGTATTAGAAAAAGGTTCGCGTCATGAAAGGGCAGTAAATTTGAAATTATCAAGCCTCTCAGCGGGTGTATTTCTTGCAACCATAAGAAGGTCTAGAAGGGAAGGAGCTAAAGCAACTCAGTTGTTTGCAGTAACGTTGGATGACATCCAAAAAGCGCTCGCTCCTGCAACCAAGTCTACAGCCAACCTAGAAAAACTCCCGAAGCAATATAACAAAGTTGTTGAACTCTTTAAGAAAGAGATAACAGACAAACTCCCACCTCACCGACCAGGCTGTGATCATGAAATCAGGCCCGAGCATGGAAAAGAAGTGTGTAATGGATATGTAACATATTCCACGTGACTAACTATTACGTAACACAAGTATATACATAGTTAGAACACTTAATATAAACTTCATGCTTCTGCACTACAGGTTATGGCCCTATATAACTTCCGCTGCACTACGTCACTCTAATTCAAGACATTTTTCTCTTGTGCTTCCATCTTTGCCCTACCTTTCTCACGTACGCGCAGCAACTCACGCACTCGAAATGTCAGAATTACTAAAGCCCTCTATCGAGGCAAAGCCTACATCTAATGACACTATTGTGCCTGATTATGTGCAAATAAATAACATCATATTTGCTACATCAGACGATGTCAAAACTTCCTTAAAGGAAGTCCAAAGAAAAACAGAAGTTTGGACACTGACAGAACGACTCGGTAACATTGAGAAAATATGTACTATTCCGAAACTAACATCATCGAACTGGAACTCCTACTTTGAATCAATAAAACGGCTAATTTCTGTCACAGAAACAGCCTGCGTTTTCCTTCCTGTTACAACATCTACTAAGGCTGTCATAATATGGTCTGCGTGGTGGGCTGCTAAATTAAAAGAATCAGCTTCACACATCAAGATAAATGACAATGAAACTCCTCTCTTTGTTTTAACCACCATCGTCAGTCAAACACAGGCGGCGATGCGCTCAAACTTAATTGAAATCATTAATAGATTTTGGACTTTTCAGCCCAGCAACAACATGTCGCTATCGAAGTTTTTTGTAGAATATGAAATACGTCTAAATGAGTTCAAGCAAAATAACACGATTACTCCGGAATTGAAACGTCAAATGAAGTACTTACTATTAAGTAGTATACAAAAATTGGACTCTAACCTTGCAATTCGATGTCGAAACTGTTCGTTTGAAGAGCTTCTTGCTGAATGTTATCAATACAAGTCTAGTAACAAACCAAAATCACTTAAAAATAAAACAGGAAAGTGTAATTTCTGTGGAAATGTTGGACACATTGAAGACGAGTGTAGGAAGAAAAAGAATGCGTCTAAAGATCGTAATAAAAATGGAAATAATAAAGTCCTTTCTGTCGCAAACACATCATGTAATTATTCATACCAGTTGGATACTGGATCAGACTATCATGTTTCTGGAAATAAAGATGACTTCTCTTCTTATTCTACTTCTCCCATAAATGTTCAAGTCGCAGGTGGTGATCAAGTTAGAGCTGTCGGTCATGGCAATCTAAATTTTCTATCTATTAATGAACAAAAAGATGAACTTTATGGAGCTATCCATATCCCAGGCCAGAATCAGTGTATTCTCTCCACGGCACAATTGGAAAAACAAGGCTTCTCCATTCGATGGCCGTCAAACTACGGTGATATCGAGCTTATCCGTCCCAATGGCTCTGTATGTGCAATATTTCAGCGCATATCTGGCAGATTATTGTACAGGCCCATTAAATCTAGTACTGGAAGATCGTCAGTGTATTCAGTTACTCGTGACTGGCATACTATCCTTGGTCATCCAGGACAACATGCCCAAAATATCATGTTAAAAGATGCAGGAATAAAGAATTTCAAGACCCATCCTGATTGCGAAACATGTGTTAAAGCAAAAATTACGAAATGCAAAAGTCATGGTAGTCTTCGAAATGCAACATCATTTGGTGAGATTATACACATGGATCTAGTTGGTGGCCAAAAGTCTCTTTTCCCAACAACCATTGATAAATCTATCCCAAATGCAACATGGTTTTTGTTTGCAGTCGACGAGTTCACATCTTGGAAATGGGCTTGGCCGATTTACTCTAAGAAAACTGTCCCTACTCAAATTCGATATTTGCTCGAGAATTTAAAGACTAAATTTCAAATAACACCTAAAGTTATTCATACTGATAGTGGTACAGAGTTCTCAAATTCTAATCTTCAAGAAATACTTCTTTCCCGTGGAATAGAATGGAAGAAATCTTCCTCACATGCTCCAGAGCAAAATGGTATTGTCGAAAGAAATGTCAGAACAGTTACCGAGAAAATGCGAACACTTCATCTGCAATCTGGATTACCATTAAAACTATGGCCTCTAATGCTGACAGCTTCAATTGACTCTCTCAATATAACTCCCAACAGAATTGCACCTAAATCACCGTATCACGCTGTTTATAACAAATTGCCCGTCATCCAACATCTTCATCCATTCGGTTGTCG